AATCCAAATTAATAGTAAAATATATTTAATTTGCTTCGAATTAGTTCATTTAGTGTATTTCCTCTTCAAGATTGGTTTGAAAGGTATTTTTTGTTGTTGTTGTTATATTTGATTTTCGAATAGATTTGGTTTTAGTAAATTGTTGGTGCAAAATGTTTACCTGATGTGGTGATCTGCTGCAAACCCACTGCGTGGCAAAGCAACTGGGAAAGGATGACACATCCATTGTGATAGCTTGATTGCATACACATATCTATACATGCATATGTAATGGGCAGAAAAATGATAATTTGCTCTATCGAATTTACGGTTTAAAGATTCTTTGAACCACATGATACGTATGTTGCAAATCTCGATTTTATACATTATATAATAAGCTGGCAGAAATATCAAAAAACATTTCAAACGATAGAATTAATTAATATTTCTGAAAGTATGCCCCCATATACATATATATACATCAACGGTGTATAATGTACATATTTATAACTTGAAACATACATCTATGCCAAAAATATTTCATATTCAGCAACGGTAATTATGAACCAGCCAACGGGCCATTCTTTTTTAAGTCTTTTTTGCGTTCTGCAATTTTAAAATCATGCCGATGCATGGAATATTTATATTAATATTTATGAAAATGAATCAAATTGGCAAACGTCAATAAATACGAAATATTCCGTGGTATTTGTGGGAAAACAGTTAGGAGGAGACAATACATGAGAATGTTAATTAATATGCGCAATAAACAAAAGCAACGGTACTATATCGAAATATTTATTTATGCAGCGCTTACGGACAGGCACACAGCCTCACAACACTTACAATCATTCTCTCTCAAGCACGCGAACCATTTTTGTTTTGTTTTCAATAAATTGGTTCTGGGGTTTTGAATACTGTACCTTCGACCTGTATTGAGGTCGCATATTTGAATCCAGCTGTTGGATTCATCGTAATGCCAATCTAGCAGTTGAAACTCGTACTTGGCATTGAAGCATTGAACTACGATGTGACTCGGTATTTACCGCCGTTTCGTCACACATTTTATTCTCTTATGGTTTTTCTTTGTTTCGAATAAATTCCAATCTACTCAGGATTAGTTTCAAGCTCCTCTCTTTAGATAAACAACTACTGTTTGTCTCAATATTTACGTAATTAAATTGAACATATGGCGAGGGGGAATCACTCTTCTCAATTAATTTTCACTCAAAAGAAATAGTTAGAGAAAAAGTAATTCGAAAAGTGACCGCCAGAAAGAATCAATTGCAAAAGTAATTTTTTACCAAAAAATTCTTTTTTCTGTCGAATATTATTCTCTTCAATTACTTTGTTTTGGAAATTACTTTTTCTCTAACTATTACTTTTCAGTGAAAAGTAATTGAAAAGAGTGATTTCTCACACCATTTTCTCTATCGATTTCAATTTTTATATATGTATTTCGTATGCAGAAAACAACCTACATAAATAATTGATGTATATATATATTTCAGGCATCAATTTTATACACACTTAAATGAATGAACATATAAAAAAAAGTATATCGATTGCCTCATGCGTTACAAAGTTATTATCAACGTCCATAAAACCATTGGAAGTGAGATAGAATTAAAGAAAAATATGTATGAAAAACGTACAATCAATGATGTCGATGAAAATATGCGGAAAAATTGGGGTGCATAAGCACTGAAGACGCTAGAACGCCGCAATTCAGATATTTCTTCACTTTCCCATCCATGCCCTTCAAATTGGGTTAATAAAAGTACATAGTACTTGAGGTCCACCACCAATCTCTTACAAGTTAAGCGGAATTCGCAAAAACGCCAGAAAAAGGTCTCTTAAAAAGAGATTGATAAACTTGATAAAATAGGGCAATGTCGTAATGAACGCAACCAATTTCGACGGAATCAAAGTTGAAATGTCAAACAAATATTTTTGACGGTTTCACCCTATCAAAAAACCTTTATACAGTGAATCTCGAATATATCGTAAGTTCTTTTGAGTGCAAAAACCCATTTAAAAAAAAAATAGTGGAAAAAAGAATCATTTTTATAAGAAAGTTAATTTCTTATTTTAAGATGAGTTTTGTTTTTTTTTTGTTTAGCTCAGGCCATGATATCCAGTGTTGTCGGAAAGTAGAAATAATTTTTCTAGATAAAGATAAGATATTATCTTATCTATTATGAATTTTTAGATAAGAAAAAAAGATAAAACATTTGTAGTATCGATTTCACTTAATTGGCGATTTCGGAAAAATAACTGTTTTGGTGTGAAACTCAAATGGTTCGCCAAAAATGGCATACTTTTCCTGTGTGTATCATCCGAAAAAATTATCGCCATTATTGCTGCTTTTCTTGAAAATCGATGAAAGTTTATGGCAAATACGCGTGGGCGGATCCATAAATCAGATTCACTGAATCATTTTTCAGAGAGATTCAGTTTATTTTGATTCAGTGGATCAGTGATTCATTTTTGGACAATAAATTATTTTAGATTGAATCACAAATCGAAAATGATTCAGAATAAAGTGAATCTCTGATCCAGAAAAAAATGAATCTTGATCGAAATTGACAATACGATTTTAATATTTGGAACATCAATTCTTCTGGCAAGTACTTCGGAATTGAATAGCATTTTTGTTTCGCCACTTTGGGACCAAGGCATTCAGAATTATCTGGAAAATTATCTAAAAAAACCCAGATAAATAATGAAAAAATTAATAAGTATCTAGATAAGATAATAGATAAACACTCTTATTATCAAATTATCTAGATAAGATAAAAGATAATATCTTATCTTATCTGAATTATCTAGATAATAAGATTATCTTCGACAACACTGATAATATCGATATATGAAACCATCAAATTTGAGATCGAAAAACCGTGTATAGTGTAGTGTTGACTTGATTGCATCGCAAAAATGTTATAAAATGCAATCACTGTAATATTTCCGTTCATCTACGACAATATGACCACAACCTAATTCACTTGTAAATATAACAATTTCCAAAAGGCGTGAATTTTGATACTTTAGACGCACAAACTATACATTTAAACTTTGGGATTTCGATAAATATCTGAAGAAAAAAAACATTGATATTCTGTGTCACTAACTTAATTTTTTGATATTTCTTGGGGTTTTTATAACCATTATTTTAACTCATTTCCAGAGCTAACCAAAACATTCACGAAAAATCCTGAAATATTTATTTAATATTTACGATAAATCCATAGAAATATTTACGTAAATATTTATGAAAAAGGGTAGAAATAGCAAAAATATTTACGAAAAAATTTCATTAAGAAAGAAATGAAAAGTAAAAAATGATTCAATTCGATGAACTAAACATTTGGAGTCAAAATTTTTCTTCCGTTTGGAAAATAATTGAAAATTCACACATAAAAGTGGCAAAACCCTCAAAATATTGAGGAGAAAAAACACTCTAAAAATTTAAAATATTCAAAAATAAATGTTAGGTCCGATTTCTTGCACACACACAAAAGTCAAAAGTTTTCAATTAGTATTAGGAGAAAAGAGAGACTAATAAAAACACAAATACTTTATTTTTCGTATTTTCGTTGGCTATTTATATCATAGCGTTCGCAAACACAATGATAAATATTGTTTTCTCTGTTCTAACTTCGCTTGATTTTCTGCCTTTGTTTATGAGTAGATCGAAAATAAATAATTGTGCAATTCACCTTTAGACGAATATTTATAGACCAAGAGCTGTTGAACAAAGTACTATGAATAAAAGATTCATGTCAGATAATGAAATTGTAGGTGCATATTAAGGCCAATATTCAAAATATCAAATTGTTTTATCTTCATTTGATACACGTCATAATATCTGCTCGCCGATAACAAGAAAAAAAATTGCTTCACTTTTCGCTCAAATTTTATGGCAGAATTTTTGTTTACTGATAAATTCGTACGAGAATAATTCAAACACAAAAAATCTGCTCCAAACATTGTACACAACATTTTTTATTTCATATCAAAGTCTCATTCTATTCAAAGACGTGAGGTTATGTGTTTGTTATGCATTTTATCCATTTTGACATGATTACCATCAAATGAAGATAAAACAATATGATATTTTGAATATTGGCATCAATGTGCACCTACAATTCCATTATCTGACATAAAGCTTGTATTTATAGTACTTTGTTCAACAGCTCTTGGTCTATTACTAGCCAGAACAATTTTAAACAAAATCAAATGTATTTTATATATTTTAACTTTTATGCAGTTCGTCTTCTGATCAATGACAAACTCAAACAGTAAAGTCTGAGATGAAATTCTCATGAAAAATTCGCAGAATATATGAAAAATTTACAAAATATTTACAAAAAATGACAAATCGTCCAAATATTTATTCATCCCGAAAAACGACGGAAATATTTATTTAAATATTTATTATTTAAGTAAATATTTTGGTTAGCCCTGCTCATTACTACAAAATTTCAGGAAAACCAACAGTTTCGAAAATGTATCGAAAAAACGTTTTTTTTTTTAAAAGATAACAAAATTCGACTCCTAGGAACTTTCAGCTAATGTTAATGGCTATCCATGACTTTACATTAATCCTCATAGAAAAAAAAACTATAGCCAAAATGGTGGTCCACTCATTACAACATTCCCCTACATATAATTTTCGGTCTTTGCAAGTGCCCTTTGTTTGTTAATTTTACTAATTTCACATTTCGGTCATGAATTTCTTCCGATAAGTTGTTTTTTTTTCTTTTCAATAAGATAATCACCGTACACCGGCAACGGCAACAGCTGTGAGAAAAAATGCAATGCATTTAACTCATATTTGGATTTTTAGAAAATTACGTATTTATCGAGTAATCGGATAGTCGTGTAGAAATTCCTATCGTAGTTCATTGCTCCAATCCTTGACGAGAACAGAATAATTTTTTTGTGGCGCTGGATTCAAATCGGGAGAACAGGACAGGGTTTTGGATTTTTAATTCTTTAAGTCTAACATTCTTTACCTCTAATATTCAATTGCGATGTATACTCAACAGATCCTCCTGAATTTTTTGCGACACAAGTGTAATCACCGGAGTGTTTAGCAGATAAGGAGGGAATGCTAAGGAGGGAGCTATATTGATCAAGTGAAGTTACATTTGCACCTAAGGAAGCCGGCAATGGTTCACCATTTTTTAGCCAACGCAATGTTAACGGTGCATCACCTCTAGATACGCCGCAAACAGTACGCGTTCGCATACCCTCAGCCAAACCGTCTTGAAAGGAGAAAGGTTCAATAATAGGAGGTACTGGAAAAAAAATACACACGAAATAGAAGAAGAAGAAGAAGAAGTATAGAAGTACGATAGAAAATGAGAAGAAAGAGATAGACAGTGACATAATAATGAAATTGATAACTGGATTGGACGTATAGCATCATCGACAATGTTATAAGCGTCTAAACGCAAAAGCGATAGCCACGTCAACAAAACGTTCTTAAACGTAACATAGTGTTGTGGTTGGTCAGCGAACGTACAGACAGTGTGTATATTTGACACCATAAATAATGTGATTTCCTGTACTGTATGAAACCGCGACACAGTGTTACGTTTAACACAGTCTGGATACAGTGTATGAGTGTTGCGTATTTTGACATCATTTTCTGGGGTCAAACACGGAGATCGTACAGCTTTACACTGCATCCAAACGGTTATTTGACTCTATAAATGATGTCAAGCGACTTCACCCTCTATGGCTACACTTTTTTACTATTAAAATAGTGTCAGCCGTGCGTTACCGCAATGGTGAATTTTTACTAGGGAATGATGATTAAGGTTAGAGTGCCGACACACGAGACAGAGACAGAGACAGAGAAAGAGAGATACCCAACTTGAAATTCGACTCTTTGCTAATCATATCCACTTCGCCGCGTTTCATTCATTTTCAATACATGTTTTATTGTTTTTGTAAGAGGCCGAATTATTTTATTCAACTGGTGTTATTTGTGTTGCTTTATCTTTTGCCCATTTTTTCACTGACTTCGAAAATATCATTACATGACATTCACCTGAAATAAACCCGCTTGAAATCCACTTTTAAAAAAATTCATTGAAATTGCGTTTTGGTTCTGATGAGTCCACACCGCTCAGGGTTTAATTTTTCCCATCCGCTCGATAGAGCCTCCATCGATTGAATCGAAAGAGTTTTTCAAAAGAGACTCTTCCAAAAGAATCTTTGCGAAAATTTTCAATATTCTGCTACAAATTACGG